CACCCCAAACACTACTACAAGACAGTAAGTGTACTTTCATGAGTCTATAATAAAAAGGCTGCGTATTTGTTTTATTTCAGTTCTCTCACAACAGTGTGGGAATGTAACGTACTAAGCCTGGTCATACATGTCCAAGGCTTCCTCCAACTTGCCTGTGATTTTCTGAAAGAAGCTGATCTGCTGCTGTAAGAAATGCTGCATCTGTGCCTTGAAGTCACGCACACGTACGCGATGAAAGTGCTGGATCTCAGCTAGCGTAGCGCAGGAGATGATGTTGCAGCGGTCGTGGATGCCTCCACCTGCAATGCCATCTTTTTCCTCCCCGTGTTTCTGGCTCTCCTTGGCCTTAGTGAGGGCTCCTGGAGAAAGACAGAAGTGAACAGAAAGTAAAAAAAACAAAACAAGGAAAGCAATAGTTTAGTTAAAGTATTAAAATCTACAACACCCAATCACATCTGCAAAAACACACATGCACTCTTTTGAACACATTAAACTGCAAGCTCAGTCCAGTCAGGCTTCTGATTTATGGCTTACAGCTTTCTTTGGAATTTCTCAAGGAGAAATCAATATTCCCTGTGCACTAGAAGTCATTTTGAAATGATCTCTTATTAACATTCTAATTCCACATTCCTGGTCTTATTGCGCTGGATTCAGTGCATTAGTATTCCAAATAAAACAATGTGATAAGTTGCTCTGCCTCTGAAACAATATTTCTTTGTGCATCTGACTTCACAAATACCTTCTGCTTTTCACCCCTCCATTCTGACATGCAACGCCTACTTTTCATGATTCAATCAATTCCAGATGGAAAAAAATCCTGGCCTACATTTTTTTTTGCCAAATATCACGTTTCACCCTGGGATATTTCTGATTACGGAAGTAAAATAAGTTGTGAATGTAGTTTCACATCAACGTTAAGAAGACAATCACATACAGTACATAAAATGTTTTTACATCCAAGGCATCAGAATAACTATGTATGTTAAAATGTAGTGTAAGCGTTCACAGCTCCCCTGTGCTGGGGCCCTAAGTTTAGGATTAGAGCCTTCAACACAAAAGCTTTCCCAGCATCAGTTGTTTTATGTAAACAAGCAATTTCTCATACAAAACCGCATTAACTATTTGCGTCATATAAACCTAGACATATGATTCTACAGAAAAGAATGACATCAGTCAATTTCATGTCACAGTAAAGGAAAAACTGGTTAGTCTGAAGTACACACTTCCCCCACTAAAGGGATGTGGGAATTACAACAGGGTTGGCATCATTCCACCATACCAACACACATCTCAAGCTGCAAGAGCTAGCAGGCCTCATATGCTCCCTCTCTCTCAAACCAGGGAAAGATCAGGACATGTCATTTGACATACCGCTGAGAACCTGTTGCTTTGTGCCATTTGCTATTAGGTATAAAAAGTTAATAAATCTAAAAAGCAAACCATTTTACATCAGCAGCTAGAACGCCATCCATCCATTTCAGTATGAATAAGATGCTTCTTTAGTTTCGTGAAATAGCAGTTTATGATTCTGATTTAGGTTTCCACTTAAATATTAACTTGACGTATGGTGGGTTGACTGGATAGTGCGTCACTTCTTTAAGCTGATGGCATGCACATAAACTACTGACCTACTGACCTATATTCATTTTATGGCATGCCATTCTGACAAGTGGTATTTGAGCAAACACATGAGAAAAATCCCAAACCTTTCTGAACATGGAAAATGTCTGGAAAGTTTGCAAGGTGGCCCTGGTAAATCGCTAAAAGATCGGAAATTGGCTCCAAATCCTGACGGGGCTGCTCTGCAAAGTAATCCCCAATGGTCTCGTAGACTTCTCCAGTGTGCTCCATGGCCTTGTTTAATGGCGCTGAATATACTTGCTGGTCGAATTCAAAGGCCTGACTTAGAAGTCTGAAAGACTGTCCAACTCTCTGATATTCCTTTTTAAAACCAGTGTTCTGCTTTCTGGCAAATTCGTTAATAGTGACGTTGAGCTGTATGATGTTTTCGTCCATTTTTTTGGTGAACGTTTTGAAACCATCTACACTGCTTTCCACCTCTTGTAAATCAAGCGGTAAAGCTGGAGGACAGATAGTGAGGAAGAAGTTAGCGCCGACTAGGTCGTCCTTCTCAGCCTTTCGCTTGCCTTGCTTCCAAGCTTTTTCATCATTGCTGCTGCAGGTAAGAAAATGCTGGAAAACGTCACACTTAGATAAAATAGGATGACTTGTCATGTGATTCATCCACCATATTAAACCTTTCCTCCTCTTTGAAATGAAATCTTCTTCGAATCGACCCGTGGCTTGTTTTTCAGGCAAGTGAGGAACCGAAATGACAGGGAATTTTTCTACAAGTCGCGCATAAAGCCAGTCAAAGTGCTTGTATCTTCTATTCACCTGGTTTTGAGTATGACTAGGCGTGAGTCCGTAGGACATATAGCTCTTCATGCCTTTGAATTTGGTCTGTTTTGTAGGATCGTCGATAGTGCAAGTGAATGGATACGGGTTCTCTTGCCATTCGGGACCGTATTGGCCCATAACCACAAATATTTTGTCTCCATCTCTGACCAAACCTGAAGCTTCACCCAAAACGAACGCCTCACCGCCTGACTTTACAAAGGTTGAAAACCTATTGAGATTTTTCCCAACTGTTCCTGTGCTTTTGGACTGTTGCGCACTACCACGTCGAGAAGCTGAGGTGCTTGTCATGGGATATCCTGCCCGATTCCCGCGTTTTTCAGGTGTTCCTCCGTGTTCATCCGCCGTTCCGCTGTCATCCCAGTCATCGTCCCAATCCTCGTCGCTTCCCTGGCTCGTGTCAAAACTGTGTCGCTGTTGCTGAAGGTGTCCCTGGTAAACAGCGGAATGAGTGGGAGTCGATTCATTTGAGGTGTCCCTCCTCTGAGGACTAGTTTGGCAGTAATAGTCCTGACTGGCGGACGTCCCGTTACCGTGTAGTGATGTGTCAGTCTTTATAATCTCCACGTATGATGCAGGGAAGAGTCCCGTCTCACCTCTGCTGTTCGTGCCCTCCAACCAACCATCGACAACCTCTTCACTACTCAGAGTTAGAAGTTCCTTCTCTGTCACAGAGATCTCGCCGGGATTTTCAGAGATAAAGTCGTATAAAGCTCTCGCTCTGAGCGCCATAGTTGTGTGGAAACGCTTTGTAAACTCAGTTTACAAAGTTACGATACACTCTCCTCCGCGCCGTGCCGTTAAATCAACCTCTTCAGGAATTTACGCTGTCTGTTTACTACCAAAACACGTCGAAAACTTTTGAAGACATTATCCCGTGAAAACAGATTGAAATTCCTCTCAGAAGAGTATTGAAAAAGTGGGTTTTGTGTAGCCTACGCCTGCCTGTCTTCGCTGAATGCGCTCTGTGGTCCAGGGCAGAATAATCGAGGGTGGAGCCAATCAGAATAATCAGCCCGGGGTAACGAATAAACCCCAAAGACCCTTCATGGAGCGATATGACTGAATGTAAACCATCATAGACCTTTTATTTTCGAAGAGATGACATCAGCTTTATATCATTATATGTTATTATTAACGCATCACATTTTATGAATAACATTTTTATAATAACTTTGTTATCATAATATAATGACCAGTATGGATAGCACTATCTCTACCCGTAATTAGGCTATTTATAACTATTAGAATGTTCATTCATATTTTTAAACAATTTTTAAACATTTAATGTAAAAATTATTGTTAACTGAATACTGCGTAAAAATATTTTCAAGTGTAACTCTTTTTTCTCTTGTACTTTGTAAAAAATGCTCAGTAGCCTATGTATAGCAGTATCGGTATCAGTAATTATTTATAACTAGAATGTTCATTAATAATTTTTTAACCATTTTTAAACATTTAATGTAAAAATGATTGTTAACTGAATTAATAAATCATATTCCCAAGTGTAACGTCTTTTTCGCTTGTACTTGTAAAAAAAAGCTTTTATAGTTCACTTAGCCTGGATTGGGTGTTAAGAGGATGATGTGTTGATTAAAAAGATTATCAACATACTTCATTGGCTGGAAATATATAAAAGTCTAAAGGCCTAAACGGTCATAAAATTCACTGTGCCTAATTTAATGTAATCCTAAATAGACACTACTTATGAAAAGTAGCCTAAAACATTAAAAATACTTCTCAAACATGCATGTCATCTAAACGTACAGAGCATTTTATTCACTTTAACAGAACTATGCACTAACTGTTTATAATAGGTAGCAAATTAACCTTCAAACTCAATTTGTGTCAAAACTGAAATTTTATTGCACTTTGTTATTATGGCCAAATGAGTATTAGGTCACTGGTCAAACATTGCTTCAAAATGTTTCATACATAATAAACATGATATGCAATATGTTAAAACATTATAAGAACGCCTAATATTTAGGTATTTTTTAATTGATAAACATGTTTTTAAATTAAGTCTTTAGCATAAACAACATTTATTTGTATGTGTTTCTACTTTCCCCTTATTTTGAATACATTGTCCAGTCCAGCCTACGTTAGCCTACTTGTTCTGTACTAAGGTAACCACAAAAAGTGTCTATGGACATATGATCTCAGATTACACAACACACTGCAGGTATCCTGTCAATCTTTCTGAAGAATAATATATTACTTTAACCAGCAGAGGTCACCGTCAAACAAAAATCTGGCACAATTAGTTCCTTGTCACGTGATGTAAAAGGACCTGTAGCCTCACAGCGTAGCTACGATCTACTATCACGTGATCGCTCAGACGTTCGTAAAACCAGCACGTACCTTATTAATATTACACAAAGACAATCATTACGTTAAAAGCGTCGAAAGAGTGGCCACTTATATAAGATATCGGTTTAAACAATTAAAACGAGTAAGAAACGAGAAAGCATTTCAATCCATGGTGGATGAATGAGCGTGATATTCAGCGTGACAGTGACGTCACGTGGAAGTCGTGACGCACACACACAACAAACAGCGCCTCTTTCCGCCCACACCATTAAACTAGTGCATTCGCCGTACATACATCTTAGTCCGAATTATTACGACTTAAAATACATATATAGTAATGTTTTGAATGTATTAAAAACCTGAGTCTTTTTTTTACTTGGACGTGTTTTAGTCACATAATCGTTTGTGGGATTTACAGAGGAAGAGGAGTGCACAGCTAACGCTGCTAGCCGCTTTATTCATATATTATTTTCCACATCTGAGAGGCGGGGAATCCAAAGCCAAAGCTGTCAAAACATCGAGACTTTTGGATGCATTCAATTAACAGCAGCGTTTCATTTCATAGTCGCCTTATCTCGGGACTTCTGTTTTCCGAAGACAACAGCCAGAAGCTATCGAGGAATTACATGGATTATCTGGTAGTGTTTTTTTTATTTCTTTTTGAAGATGCACAGAATCTGTAGGATCAGGTGTCTTGTTTTCATTGCTGCTCCCACAATTTATGAACCTCGGTCGGGATTGTTTTTGAACAGTTCTGTTTTGTTTGCAGCTATTACAAATATACTTACTAGATGGGTGAAGTCACTTACAGTTTGCTGTTTGTTTCGCTTAACAGCAAACCTAAGCCAATAGAGATGGGTGTCCAGAAAACATAGTTCTGAGCACTATTAAAAGAAGGTCTTTTCTGATATACCAACAATTTTGGCCATTTCTTTTATGCTTTTTAGCTATTTTTGTTCTGCCTTTTTGAAAAAATGTAAACGAGTATGTATGCAGTTAGATCAGTATAATTTTCACATTAAGATGTAATGTACAGTAGTTTGCTGTAAGATAAGGTCATTTATTAAGTCTGCAAAACTAATTTCATTTGCTGCACTTATCCGAAATCAGGTAACAAAACTATGCAAGTATTAAAGGAATAGTTTAAGAACGCGAATTCTGTCATTATTAACTCACCTTCATGTCCTTCAAAACCTGTACGACTTCCTTTCTTCCTCTGAACACAAAACAGCTAACAGAATGTCCAAGCCGCTGTTTTCCATACAGTGAAAGTGAATGGTATGGAAGCCCGTTTTCACCACAGGATAAAAAAAAATATTGTCTTTTGCGCACAATTCGGACTTTGTTTCTAGCAATTCGGAGGAGAAAGTCAGAATTGCAAGTTTTTGTTTTTTTAAAATCTCATAATTCTGATTGTTTTTTTTTTTCTGTTAGTTGCGAGCTTATCTCAGAGTCACAATTCTGACTATTCTTCTCAGAATTGTGAGTTTATATCATGACAACACCAGTGCCCTTTCACTTTCATTTTGTGGAAAAGAGCATATTGGGCTAAACATCTCCTTTTGTGTTCCTCTGAAGAAATAAAGTATAGGTTTCAGAAGAATTGAAGGTAAGTAAATGATGACATAAATGTCATTTTTGGGTAAACTATATTTAAGTCACATATATCAATGATATAGGTATAGTTAGATATCTACATATTCCCTGACACGTTTACAGATATTTGTGTGTTCTCGTTACATTTGGAGCTTATAGTTTGTTTTCAAAATGAACACCCTTTAATGTGACCTTGTTACAGTCTATTTTAAATTTACTACAATTACCTTTTATGACATTTCTTTTCATCTAGATATTATAGTGACATAAACAGCCACTTGTGTTGTGGTTATCACTCCATGAATGAATTTACCTGGCATGATATATGGTCACAGATCACATCTAATCTTTTTATAACATTGTTTATTATCAGCTTATTTGGCCTTGGCGTGACCTCTTTCAAAGTCCTTTTTAGCACCATTCGTGTTATATAATTTGCCTTCAGTATTCAGTGATAATAACAGTTTCACAGGAATGCTGATGTACTGTCGTGTTGTATTGAATTACGGTGCCAGTAAACTTCTCGCACATTCAGTGCTTTGATACTTGACTTGACTGGACATATGCAGCGAGGTCACAGGGGTGTTTCCTTTGGGATATTCCGGTCAGGATTCTCAAAATAGAACAATTTCCTCAAGAAACAGAGCTGAAAAAGAGACTGGAAGTGCTGGCAGTGTGCGGATTAAGAGCATGCTTGATTATGTAAGTATTTTTGTCCGGACAAATCACACTTTTTAAGGACAAGAGGATGTTGTTTCTCACTCAGGTTTTTCTTCAGTTGATGCATTAGAAAAACCAAGGGTCTTGTACTTCTTGAGGGTAAGACCTACTTTTATTTCACTAGAATGTGGAAACTGGGTTGGACTAAAACAAACCACGTGCACACCAGCATATATTTGTAACAGGTTGTACACAACTGTAAACAGACTTTATGCCCGTTTCATCAACAGTTTGCTTAGAAAAAAGGTTTTAGCATGGTCAGTGAAAGCTTTATCATTGTCAGCTCTTGGGATTCATGCCATGCACAGTTGGTTCCCCTCTCCCCGAAATGGGTGGAGCTTAAATCTGTGCCTTTGTAGTTGGCATGGAAACCACATCATTGTATCTACGTTTCTGGTATGTTTTTCCAAAGCAACGCGTTTCCTTCACGCTTTTTATGTGCTGGCCATCCGTGCCCAATGGTTTTAATGTTTGCTTTGAGTTCTAACTGTTCAGGTTTGAGTTCATTCTTCTGGGTGTCCCCACGGTTTTCCATTATTAAAGGACACAGTGGATTCAGTGCAGAATCTTAGCTCGGTTTAATTATGGATCTGGCCTCATTTGCTCCAAACTCTGCTGATTTAGAAATGAATGGGCACAACAATGATCCTACTGTATTGTGTTCTGTTCCCTGACTCTGTATCGTTAATTTATGAGAGGAATCATAATGTATTCAAGCATTTGTCCAACAGCCGTTTTTTGGTGTCCCTCTCATTAAATCAAGCTGGATCGCATGCAGCTGCTGTATTCTTTTAATCCTTTCAAATGTTATTCATTTTACGGACAGCCGAGCTAATTTACAGCCAAATCGGAAGCTTTATTTAATGGTTAACTGAGGGACTGAGGTCAGACATCAGCAGAGAGTATGTCAGGTTGCTAGTTTTTGGGCAGTTAAGCACGTTTTATTTTTTAATTTAAGATAATTATTTTTCATGAGATAAAATGTCCATACTTCCTATCATGTGTCTTTGGAAGGCAGTGTTTTGGAGACAGGACATGCGGTTTATGGGGTGGAGGCGTTATTTTAGATGTAATTAGCGAAACAGTTTAAACTGCTTAAAGGTGACATACAGGTGCATCTCAATAAATTAGAATGTCGTGGAAAAGTTCATTTATTTCAGTAATTCAACTCAAATTGTGAAACTCATGTATTAAATAAATTCAATGCACACAGACTGAAGTAGTTTAAGTCTTTGGTTCTTTTAATTGTGATGATTTTGGCTCACATTTAACAAAAACCCACCAACTCACTATCTCAACAAATTAGAATACTCCATAAGACCAATAAAAAAAAACATTTTTAATGAATTGTTGGCCTTCTGGAAAGTATGTTCATTTACTGTACATGTACTCAATAACTTGGTAGGGTCTCCTTCTGCTTTAATTACTGCCTCAATTCGGCGTAGCATGGAGGTGATCAGTTTGTGGCACTACTGAGGTGGTATGGAAGCCCAGGTTTCTTTGACAGTGGCCTTCAGCTCATCTACATTTTTTGGTCTCTTGTTTCTCATTTTCCACTTGACAATACCCCATAGATTCTCTATGGGGTTCAGGAAAACCTGGAAAAGTCAGATTTTCATGATATGTCACCTTTAATAACAAGTTCTCCCGCTTGTTATCTGGTTTAGGCACATCCCACTCTGTATTGTCACATTATTCCATGTTTTTTTTGATTGCTCTCATATCTGCCGTATTTTTAGATTACCTTTGCCATCATCTGACGCTCACTTAAAGTTAATCTTTAAATGCATGAATAATTTAATAATGTAATCTTCAGTAGAAAAAAATCATACTGTTCATTACAATGTTGTGACACCTAAATTTTCTAGCATTTGAATTTAATTGGTTTTAGTTTGTAGTGTTTTATTTATTTGTTTTATTTTTTAATATACATTAAAATTGAAAGGTTATATATATATACACACACACGTATTCACGTATTCTTACCGAAAATTTTTGGTACGGGTCTTTCGGTTCGGTGTGTACTGAACAAATTATTCAATTTTTCAGGAAATTCAGACAATAAATGCCGTTTTGGTGCTCTTTGACGTGGCATGCCAGGTCGCTGTATAAACACCTCAGTTTAAATGGCAGCGTGGAGTCAGCGTTATCATCCCTTCCTCTTTACTTAGTTTTAACGTGAAATAAACATGAATGAACATCTTATGCCTCATGTAATCACTCAATCAGTGCTTCAATCGCGTAAAAAGCTTGTAAACAAAATGTCACGTAGCATTTCATTTACTTCAGGCAAGTCATCAGTGTCCACAGTGTGTTCGCTAGAGAAAATATTAGGCTATATGCTCATTATATTTTACTTTACCTGTTAGTGATGTCTTAATTATTTAATGTATGTTTAAATAAATCTTTTATGATACAAGTTATGATAGCCACTGTGTAAATTATTATATTTTAACAAGAATTTGTATAATTTAGAAGTTAATTTAAAAACTACAGTGTGTGCAATTTACATGTTTGCATACAATTTTTTTATTTGAGTGCTGATTATTATAGTTAAAAAATAAATAGTAATTAAATTTGTAAAATCTGTTGTAACTTGTAACCTTATAGTAATGTAAAAGAGCTCACTATAGTTTAGAGCAGAAGCTGAGGTAGATTTTTATCCCTAAGAAAATTGTAATTATAGGCCTAATTGAATTTATTTGAAGAAAGAGCAATTTGTTCAGTAAACCATTGTTTAATTTACTTAATAATGACAGTAAAGACCTTTACATTGTTACAAAAGATTTACTATTTTAAATAAATTCTTGTTTTATTGAATATTTCACAAAAATATTAAACAGCACAAATGTTTTTACAAACATTATCACAAACATTGATAATAAAACTAATATTTCTTGAGCAGAAAATATTAAATTGGCATATTAGAATGATTTCTGAAGGATCATGTGGCACTGAAGACTGGAGTAGGCCTAATGATGCTCAAAATTCAGCTTTGAACACAGGAATAAATTAGTAATTATAGGCCTAATTGAATTTATTTGAAGAAAGAGCAATTTGTTCAGTAAACCATTGTTTAATTTAAAAAAGGCAATTTTTTGTTTAGTTTTTTTCCTCCTGCTGTACCAAAACCATACCTAACCATGACGTAAAAACCAAGGTACGTACCGAACCGTCATGTCTGTGTGCTGTTACATGGCTTTTATATATATATATATATATATATATATATATATTATTATTTAGCAGTGATACATTAAATTGCTTAATAATGACAGTAAAGACCTTTACATTGTTACAAAAGATTTACTATTTTAAATAA